CTATGAAGTTCGCATTCCTCCAGGTGGGTGTTGTTTGGATCTGGCTGCTGTGCTCCACTTCTTTCTGCTGCAGGTGTTGGAGTTGAACCCTTTGTGTCTCTCTGGCAAGATGTTCTGCTCCTGAATCAGCTGGGTGTGTCTTGCCTCTAGCCTCTTTGCGGTGAGTTCTGCTGAAGGGTTCTGTGCTGGGCCTGCATGCAGCCTGGGTCAAATGAGGATCCCCGGAGCCCTGGTCCTCTCATTCACTCGCCTGGCCTGCACTCTGGGTCTGTTCAGGATCCTGTGGCCTCGATCTTCTCACTCACTCATGGGCCTGCACTCTGGGTCTGTTCAGCATCCCACAGGCCCCAGGTCATCTCACTCCCGAAAATGTTTCTTTTCAATGAATTAGGAAAAATTAGTAGTATTACTACCTTAATTATCATTTTTCTTTTTGCTTTTCTCTTCCTTCTTTTTTCCATTTGACCATCCCATTTTCTCTTTCTTTTTGAAGTTTCTTCTCATTTTATAATATCTTTTGTACATTTTGGTCTCATTTACTCTTTCAGCTTCTCACTCTAGGGAAACAATATGATGTTTAGACATGTGCATCTGGTTTATTTCACTTATGAGTGTGGTTTCCAGTTGTATCCATTTACCTGTAAAAGTCTTCAATTTATCCTTCTCTATGGCTGAGTAGTAATTTATTGTATGAAAAGAACTTATCTTTTCTATTCATTCTTCAGTTGATGGGCATTTGCATTGTTCCCAAGGTCTGGCTATTATAAATTGTGCGTCTATAAACATGGGTGCACATATATTGCTGTGATGTGTTTTTAATTCTTCTGGGAAGACCCCCAGTAGGGGAATAGCTGGGCTCAATAGGATCTCCATTTAGAGTTTTTAGAGGAATCTTCACCGATTTCCATAGTGATTGCACCAGTCTGCACCCCCAACAGTGGAGAAGGATTTGCTTTTCTCCACAGCCTCTTCAGCATTTGTTATTGGCTGACTTCTTGATGTTAGCCATTCTTTCTGGGGTGAGATAGAATCTCAGTGTTGTTTTAATTTGTATTTCTCAAATGATCAATGATTTGAACTTTTTTTCATATATTTACTTGTTATTTGTATTTCTTCCACTGAGAAGTCTATACTTGTTTCAAATACCCATTTTTGGGGTTGGGTCTTTGGATTTTTGGGACTTGATTTTTTTTTCAGAACCAGGGGTTGAACTCAGGCCCTTGTGCTTGCCAGGCAAGTGCTTATTCTACTGAGCCATCTCCACAGCCCCCCTGGCTTGATTATTTTAATTCATTGTATGTTCTAGATAGAAGGCCTTTGTCTGAGGTAAAGTAGACCATACTTTTTCCCAGTTTGTTGGTATTTCTTTTACTCTGTTGGAGATTTTCTCTAAAGTTCAGAAACATTTCCAAAAGATGAGATCCCAGTTGTTGATTCTTTGAAGTATTTCCCATGCATTTTTTTCTCATGAACTCCCTATCTACTCCTATATCTTTAAGAGTTCTACCTACATTTTCCTCCAGAAGATTTAGTGTTTCTGTTTTAATATTTAAATCTTTATTTATTTTGACAGTAACTTTGTGCATGGTGATAGCCATGGGTCTAGTTTTATCCTTCGACTTGTGGAAAAGCAGTATTTACAGTAACATTTATTAAAGAGTCTGTCTTTCTTCCAGTAAGCCTGTTTGGCCCCATTTTCAAATATAAGGTGGCTGAGGAGACCCACAGAAGGAGGGAAAGTGAAGGAAGAGGGAAAAGGAATTAAAGGAGAACTGAGATTTGTTTTACATGTACCAACTCCTCAAATCAATGCAATCATTAAATGCTGCAAACATAATAAAAAAGAAAGTAAAATAACAACAAATGTGGATAAATGTGAACCCTTCTATAATGCTGTATGAGTGTATGCTAGTACAACAATTATGTAAATTAGTATAGATAGTCCTCAAAAAATAAAAACAAAATTTCCATTTTAGTGTGTTTGTAGTTGTGTCTGCATCTTCTAATCTGTTCCACTGACCCTCAGGTATGTCTCTATGCAGTACAATGCTGATTATATCACAGTAGCTTTATAGTACAATTTCAAGTCAGGGATTGTGATACCTCATGCCTTTACTTTGTTTCCTAGGATTGGTTTTAATATTCTGGGTCTTTTCTGGTTCCAAATGAATTTGAGGAAAGTTTTTTCTAGCTCTGTGAGGTATGCTAGTGGTATTTTAATTGGTATTGCATTGAATCTTTATAGCAATTTTGGGAGTATGGCCATTTTCACCATGTTGTTTTTTCCTATCCAGGAGCATGGAATATTTTTCCATTTTCTCAAATTCTCTTCAATCTCTTTTCCCAGGGTACCATAATTTTCACTGCATAAATCTTTTACATCCTTTGTGAAAGTGAGTTCTAAGTATTTTATTTTGGGGGATGTTATTGTGAAAGAAGTGGTTACTGAAATTTCTCTCTTAGTGTTTAATTCTTTGTGTACAAAAACGCTACTGATTTTTGGGTATTGACTTTGTATCCTGCTACATTGGAGAATTTGGTGATTAAATCTGAAAGACTCTTGGTGGAGTTTTTTGGGTTCTCTATGTAGTGTGTCATGTCATCTGAAGATATTTTTTGTATATTTATTTGCTATTTGTATTTCTTTTTTTAACTTGAAAAAAAAGTATATATTTAGAATTAGCCAGCTGGACTCCGTTCAGATAATCCCATTTTTGTTGGCAACATCCAATGCATCATAATTGGGAGCCAGTCAAACACATGCCTTCTTCTCTCCATCAGGCCTGATTAGGGCATTGACCTTGGCAAAATCAATGTCAGAGAGCTTCATTACAGCTTGTTTGATTTTGTGCTTATTGGCTTTGACGTACACAATGAACATGAGTGTGTTGTTGTCCTCTATCTTTTCCATGGCTGACTCTGTGGTCAGGGGGAACCTGATGATGGCATAGTGGTCAAGCTTGTTTCTCCTGGGAGTGCTCTTCTGAGGGTATTTGGGCTGCCTCTGGAGCTGCAATGTCTGGCGATGGCAGAAGGTGGGTGATGTTTGTATCTTCTTTTTTTTTTGTGGCTGTGGATGCCTTTCAGCATGGCCTTCTTGGGCCTCAAAGCTTTTGTTTTTGCTTCAGCTTTGGGATGGGCAGGGGCTTTCTTCTTCACCATCAGCACCATCTTCAGTATTTGTATTTCTTTATCTGAGAAGTGTGTATTCATTTCAGATGCCCATTTTGAATTGGTTCTTTAAATTTGGGAGGTCTAATTTTCTCAGTTGCTCTTCTCTTGTTCCCGGGACAAATACCCAACACTCAAAATGAGGGAAGGAAAGGTTTATTTAGCTCATAGTTACTGGAGGTTTTGGTCCATACTCAGCTGGCTCCAAGGCAGATTGGCACATTGTAGAGAGCAACAGTTCATGGCAGCAGCAAAGAACAAAGAGCAAATGGAGGAATAGTGGCAACAATAGTAACAGAGAGCAAGTTTGTCTCTCTGTCTCTCTTATGTTACTCCAGGCTATCTTCCCTAGGCTTGGTATAGCACTCACACCCATAATGTCAGCTGTACTCAGACCCATAATCCCAGCAGTACTCAGACCCATAATCCCAGCAGTACTGAGACCCTTAATCCCATAATCCCAGTGGATCATGAGCTAATCACAAACTCTACAAGTCTGCCCCATAATTGCATGAGACTTTGGGTGGACAACTAGACACAAACCATAACACTGATTTCTTTTTGAGTTCTTTATATGTTGTCTTTAAATTATAATTTTATTTTATTTTAAAGAGAAAAAAAGCAAAAACAAAAGTCAGAAACAAGGACAAAAATAGGGTAACGTACAACAATACATATGTTACAGATTTTCAAAACAAGAATAGCTGATTAACAATGGTTGATATATTATCTATTTTTATCATCAAATCTGTTTCTCAGAATAACAGATTGGACATGTCATTGAATATTACTGCTTGCTTTCAAGAAATGTTAAATTTTTGTTCTTGTCTCTCTCTTTTCTTTTATTACCTTTTTAAAAATTTATTTTGAAGTGAGTAATTGATATGACATTAGGAAAAATATACATTTAGAAGACTAAGATGACAGGTATTCAAGCATGGTTTTTGTATTATTCATTGCTGTCCTCAGTGTAGTTTCTTAGTTTACACAGATCAGCATACAGAGTTAGTCAAGGTGAAAATTCTACATATTAACTGGTATTTTCAAGATCTTTTTATGTTCTTTATCATAATCTTTTGTTTGTGGAACAGCTGTTAAACATATTTCCCACTCCGTGGGCCACCTTTTCACTCTGTTGGTGATTCCTCTTGTGCAAAAGCTTGTTAATAGGATGAGATCCCAGTTGTTGCTTCTTTGTGTTAGTTTCTGTGAAATTGGGCTTTTATTCATAAAGTCCTTGCCTATACCAATGTCTTCAAGAGTTTATCTATTTTATCTTTCAATAGATTTAATGTTTCTGTTTTAATATTTAGATATTGCATTCATTTTAAATTTCAATATTTAGATCTTTAGTGCATGGTGAAATACATGAGTCCAATTTTAATCTTCAGCATGTGCAAAGCCAGTTTTTCCAGCACCATTTATTAAAGAAGCTATCTTTCTTCCAATGAATGTTTTTGGCACCTTTGTTAAAGATAAGTTGGCTGTTTATGTCTGGTGTCCCATAAAATATAAAGCCATTGTATTACCAATGATACATACCAAGTTCTATAGTAGGAGAGTTTATAATAGCTGAATTTTTAATTAATTTTATTGAGAAACAAACAGCAATGAGACAGTTTCAAAACTGATTAACAGGACAGTTTCAATAATTAATACATTGCATAGTGTTGTCTTCATAGTGGTTATTCATAGTTCAAAATGCAAACCTGATGTCTAGTCCAAACACTGTTAGCACAAATCTTTCTTCTTATTGAATTAAGAGAAAGTAGCTGCATATCTATCCTAACTATTTTGTATATACAGATACAATATCGTCCTTCATTTGTATCCCCTTTTTTTTGTTTAGTTTTGTCTGAGATGGGTATTCCGTTGCCATTTAAATATAGTAGGTGCGTGAGTTCAGCAAAATAATACAATATAGTCCAGGAGTCAAGATGGTTAAGGCAATGATCCTGAGACTCTTCAGTAGGTTTTTGAAACAAGCAGTTAATTGGTAGGATTCTCACTCTGACTAACTATATAGGCTGATACCTGTGAACTAAGCAACTGAAATGAACAACAATGTGTAATACTAGGATCATGCTTGGAATACCTGTCATTTTGGTCTTCTAAATACATACTACTTGTCATGTCATATCAACTACTTCTATACTGTCTCTCAAGTAAATGTTTGTTTTAAAAACAGGGTAATACATGAAAACAAGAGACAAGGAAAAATGTCATAGGACTGTTATAATAGCTAAATATTGGATGTTGCCTATACATTTATGAACAGATGAATGAATTAAAATGTGGTAAAGGTTTATATAATAAAGTACTACACAGCCATTCAAAGTATAAATTTGAGCAATTGTGTGTAGGAATAAGATTGCACATTGGGGCCATTATGGTGAGTGAATTAAGTAAAACTCAAGAGGGTATATATCACATGGTTTCTCTTATATCAAAAATCCAAAGTACAAATAAAATGAAAAAAAGAAGACAGATGAGAGAAAACAGAAAAATAGAATTCGTGGAAATGAGGAGACCTGGGGATTCTGGGAGAGGTAAGGGGATGCGAGGGTAAGATAAAATAAATATGATAAAAGTGTGCTATGTGTATTTTCAAATTTCCAACATGAATGTAATTATTGCGTATCACAAACATATTCCAATATAAGCCTGTGAAATGCAGAAAGGCAGTCAGTAAACTTTTGTTTCATTGAATTCAATGATCTTTTTTTTTTATTAGCATTCATCTTCCACAATCATACTCATAGCCGGGTATTGTTGGACATTTTCATGCACCAGCTGGTGGGCTTAATCTCCTTTTTGAATGGCTTGGTCGCCTTCATTGATTTCCTCATACAAGACAATGTACTTCTGGAGCTTCTGCGTTCAAGCTTCACCTTGCTGCAGGGGAGCTGGTTTTTTCAGGTGAGTTGAGGCCTCCCTAGAAATTTAGTTGATGCCTTGGTGTTTCTGGAATTGAGACTTTTTTCTGATGTGCTGTTGGTAGTTTGAATTGCTTCTGGAAAGTGATGTTCCTTAGGATGGTCCTGTTGGGGGCATTATTAGAGCATATGTGAGAAGTCAGGTGTACGTGTCTTCATCACACATCAGAATATGCATTTATGCAGGATCTTTGAACTACTGCTTTTCTTTCTTTCTTTCTTTCTTTCTTTCTTTCTTTCTTTCTTTCTTTCTTTCTCTTTCTTTCTTTCTTTCTTTCTTTCTTTCTTTCTTTCTTTCTTTCTTTCTTTCTTTCTTTCTTTTTCTTTCTTTCTTTTTTTGTGGTACTGGGGATTGAACTAAAGACCTTGTGCTTGCCAGGCAAGTGCTTATTCTACTAAGCTATCTCTCCAGCCCTGAACTAGTGCTTTCAATCATGAGCAAGTCCACTGTGTAATATCTCTAGCCTTAGTTGTACATTGTCCAGTTTCTTAAAATGTTTTATTCTTACTTATATTTAAGTTAATTGCACTGTAGTCCGTAATGCATTTTTTTGGAACAAATTTCCTCATTTTTATTTTTTGTGCTACTATGGATTGAGTTAAGGTCCTCATATATGCTATTTAAAAATTTACTCCTGAATTACATTGTAGCTTTTTTAAAAAAAAGTTTTATTTTGAGATATAATCTTTCTGTGTGTCCTAGATATTCTCTAAGATTTGACCCCTGCCTCAATCTCCTGTTTATTTAGTGTTATAGGTGTGCTCCACTGGGCCCAATTTCTTTTCAATGTGTTGAGATTTCCTTTGGAACATGGCCTAAAAGTGCTTATGAATATCTCACATATTTCAAAACAAATTGTATTTATCTTTGTTGGATTGAGGAATATACATTGTGTTGTCAGAATTTCACTACTATAATGAACACTAGATGTCATCAACATATAGAGAGAAGAAGTTTATTTTGGGAGATGACTTCAAACATTTTAGTACAAGTAGAGTTTGCACATACTGCTCTTAAGTTTGTGATAAGGCAGCACATCATGGTGAGTGTACATGTTTGAGTAAAACAACTTATATCATGATTTTGAAAGAGAGGGATCAGGTTCTCACAACCCCCTTGAATAAATTCCTTTAGTTACCTAAATACCCACCAGATCCCATGACCTATATGTTCTACCACTTCCCAAAGTGCCACCATAGGGATAGAGAATTTGCCATATAGATCTTGACATTTTTAAAAAATTAGTATATGTTGATATTATTAATCTGAGTTTGTGTATATAGTATATAATGTTTATCTTCATGGAGGTTATTAGGTTCCTGTACATGATGTTTAGGAGATATCTCACATCAAAACTCTAGCATACACATATTTACTAGATTAAGTTTGTAAAAAAGCTTAGGATTCAAATAAAGTGAGTATGTAAGAATAAAGCCAGCCCAAAAAGAGTTGAAAAGAGGAATCAATTGCAAAGACAAAAGAAGAAATAATAAAGGTAATTAATGTAAAATTAATAATTATTAATTATGCTGAGAATACGAAAGGCAAAACTGTGCTGTATGTCCAATGAGAACAGGTTGGTTTAATACTGCTCATTTTTGGAGAGAAATGTTTTCATACTTCTTCAAATGTTTTTCTAAGGAGAGTTTTGAGGTAATAATCTTTAGGCATACCTACCAATACTTTTATAATAGCTTTTTATATTTTATCTGATAGCCAACCTAAATAATGTCTGGATCCTTAAAGAAATGTGAATAATTAGTATCGATACACACAAATATAAGAAATGAAAGTTTATCCATAATAACTCTCCAACTTTTAGATTTCTCTAAAACAAAATTGCATAGAATCTTAAAGGAAGTCATCTTATGCCCTATATTTTTTTAGTTACTTATTTAGTTTTTGTTTGGATAAGATTTAGATAATATAGAATCAACCATTTAAGTGTACAATTCAGTATAACCATAGTAAAGTGTACTCATCACATGTAGTCAGTTTCAAAACACTTTTATTTCTCCAAGAGAAATTCTGTACCCTTTAAGCAATCACTCTCCCTTACCCTCTCCTCATAGGATTTGCTAACCACTTACCTGTTTTTGGTATCTATGGATAGTTACTTATTCTGGATATCCTATATAAGAGAGACCTACACAATCCATATAAAAGAGAGTTATACAAAATCTTTTTGATTTTATTCTACTAGTGTAAGGCTTCAGATTTCTTCCACATTTAAGTATGCATTAATAATTTTTTATTTGATTAATATTTCATTGTAAGATTATACCACATTTTTCCCCTGTATTTTGGGTAAGGGTCTACAGGGTGCTCAGATCGAACTCGTAGTGATTCTCCTGTTTACAGACTCTCAAGTGCTGGGATTACAGGTATGCACCACCACACCCAGTCTAGCTGGCTGTCTCAGTGCAACCCGGGGCAGGGCCAGCACAGCAGGCCCAGGGATCGACCACATTTTTCTTAATTATCATTAGCTGATGGTTGTTGAGGTTGTTTTTATCTTTTGGCTATTAGGAATAGTGCTGCTAGGAAAATTTGTGTATACATATTTGTTTGAATATTTTGTGTATACAGCTAGAGATGGAATTTTCAATTCATATGGTAACACTGTATTTAACTGAGAGATTGCCAACTTTACTCTATTGAGGCAGTGTCATTTCCTTCAGCATTGTAAAGTATTCCAATTTCTTCATGTCCTCATTGTTACATGCTATTATTTATTATTATTTCTGTTCTTGTTGCTACAAAGTGGTATCTCGCTGTGCTTTTGAATTTCCCAGTGACTAATGATGCTGGTCTCTTTCCATGTGGTTACTGGCCATCTTTATACTTTCTTCTGGGAGGAATTCCTTCATGTTTTTTTTTCCATAATTGATTTTTTTCTGGTTGAGTTTTAGGAATTCTTTATATGTCAAAGGAATGATTTGAAAATAAAAATTTCCTCTTTGTGAGATGTCTTTTTCTTGATGGTGTCCTTTGAAGCATAAAAATTTTAAGTTTTTTTTTTTTTTTTTTTGCGGAGCCAGGGATTGAACTCAGATCCTTGTGTTTGCCAGTCAAGCGCTTATCCTACTGAACCATCTCCCTGGCCCCAAAAATTTTAAGTTTTGATAAAATCCAAATTATCTATGTTTTGGCTGATTTTTTGAGTTTTTTGTATCACAGGTAAGAAACCATCAGAAAATCCTAGGTCATAAGTTTTCTCTTTATGCTTTCTTATGAATTTTATAGTTTTCAATCTTTTATTTAGATTTTTGACCCATCTTATGTTAGTTGTGCATACAGTGTTAGAAAAGACTTTGTCTTCATCACTTTCTTTGTTGCTGGGACACAATACTGACTACCCATGAGTTAAAGGAAAGAGATGCATTTGGCTTGTGTTTTCAAACCATGGGTTGCTGACTCCAAGGCACAAACTGTGTGGTGTAGAAATTGCATGATTGGTCTGAGCAAAGCTACACACAACATGGTGTAAGGGCGAGGAGAAATACTGAAATGACACCCAGGAGTTGGAGGCAGATTTATTTACAGTGATGGGCATTGATAGGGATCATTCCCAAAATATCACGCCCTGATCTCTGGTGGTCTAGGGCTTATATGGGATAAACAAGCAGGAAGTACAGGGGCAGAACGGCCTGTCAAATGGAGATTGATTCTTGAAATATGCACTATAGTGACCAACTGTGCACCATGGTGACCAGCTATTTCTAAGAAACAGAAACTGTAACCAGAACAATTACCTGGGCAACTAACAAATTGAAGCATACTAGCTGGGGGTGGGTGTGTCATCTTCTGCTACGGTGGGAGTCAGGAAGCAGGAAGAATAGGGAGAAGCTGGAGAGAGAGATGTACTATTCGAGATCATACCTTCAGTAACCCACCTTCAACCAAGATCCACCTTCTAACAGTATACTTAGCTCTGAATTCAGAGGTCTGATCTCCATGGATGAGCATTGCACCAAGCAATCCAATTGTCTGAAGATACTACCTGTGAACACATAGGCCTTTGAGGACTTTCTAGACTTAAAACATAACAGGGTCCAAAACAAATGTTTTCCATCTGAGTATCCTAATGACCCAGCATCTCTTGCTGAGCACGCTGTTCTCTCCTCTGTTCAGTAGGTTTGAGGCCTTGCCAAATTAGATTATATATACAAA